TTTGTTAGTTCTTAGTTTGCAGTTTCTTGCCACTTCTTTTAGTGCATTTTTTGTTACTTCATAGTCTGCAGTTTCTTGTCACTTCTTTTAGTAAATTTTGTGTTAGTTCATAGTCTACAGTTTCTTACCACTTCTTTTAGTGCACTTTACGTTAGTTCTTAGTCTGCAGTTTCTTGTCACTTCTTTTAGTACACTTGGTGTTAGTTCTTAGTCTGCAGTTTTTGTCACTTCTTTTAGTACAGTTTGTGTTAGTTCTTAGTCTGCAGTTTCTTGTCACTTCTTTTAATACACTTTTTGTTAGTTCTTAGTTTGCAGTTTCTTGCCACTTCTTTTAGTGCATTTTTTGTTACTTCATAGTCTGCAGTTTCTTGTCACTTCTTTTAGTGCACTTTTTGTTAGTTCTTAGTCTGCAGTTTCTTGTCACTTCTTTTAGTACACTTGGTGTTAGTTCTTAGTCTGCAGTTTTTTGTCACTTCTTTTAGTACAGTTTGTGTTAGTTCTTAGTCTGCAGTTTCTTGTGACTTCTTTTAGTGTACTTTGTGTTAGTTCTTAGTTTGCAGTTTCTTGTCACTTCTTTTAGTACATTTGTGTTAGTTCTTAGTCTGCAGTTTCTTGCCACTTCTTTTAGTACACTTTGTGTTAGTTCTTAGTCTGCAGTTTCTTGCCACCGCTTTTAATACACTTTGTGTTAGTTCTTAGTCTGCAGTTTTTGTCACTTCCTTTAGTGCACTTTGTGTTAATTCTTAGTCTGTAGTTTCTTGCCACCGCTTTTAATACACTTTGTGTTAGTTCTTAGTCTGCAGTTTTTGTCACTTCCTTTAGTGCACTTTGTGTTAATTCTTAGTCTGTAGTTTCTTGCCACCGCTTTTAATACACTTTGTGTTAGTTCTTAGTCTGCAGTTTTTGTCACTTCCTTTAGTGCACTTTGTGTTAATTCTTAGTCTGTAGTTTCTTGACACTTCTTTTAGTACATTTGTATTAGTTCATAGTCTGCAGTTTCTTGTCACTTCTTGTAGTACACATTGTGTTAGTTCTTGATCTACAGTTTCTTGTCACTTCTTTTAGTACGCCTTGTGTTAATTTTTGGTCTTTAGTTTTCTGTCAGTTATTTTATTACACTTCCTGTTAGAAGTTATCTTAGGGTTGTTTTTTTTCTTTTCTCTGTTTCTCCATCGCCAGCTAACGTCATCATAAGACTGTTTTACCTGGTATTCACTAACTTTTATTTTGCTCGGATCATTTCATTTAGCCAATCTTTTCGAGTTGGTGAAATAAGTAATATTTTATAGGAAAACGCATTGCGTGATTTCTTCTTTTCATCTTATCTTTTAAAGTCGTAAACGTATTTTTTACGATTCCGTAAGCGAACAAGACAAACCTTTTGTTATTGGGATGAATATCTCCCGTATTATATATTGTTTAGTCAGAGTATCCCATTTAAAGAAGCAAATGAAATATTTCCCTGTTTTATAACACAGTGTATGTTAGCTTTAGGCTGTAGTCCTATTTTACAGAAGAAAAAAAAATACTCCAAAGCAGGTTCAAACAGTCTGACTTTATAGCTGTAAAATTTAGAACCAAAATACAGGTTTTGAAAGTTACGTCATGTTTATACACACATAAGAATACACACTGTTATTGGTCAGCTTGGTTCTTCCTTTGGGCGTTTACGTTGTTTATGAACCACGTGGAAAACGAGGACAGCAGTGAGACAACATCTGAAAGTTGAAAGCAAGTATCAGTTACTGTTATTCGTTTGTTGTAGTAAAACGTTAAACTTGCTTCATTAAATAATGAAATAGTGCCTGTCTAGTTAGGCACTCTTAATTAGTGCTGTAAAAACAAGTAACCGCTAAAAGTTAATATGGGTAGTAAAACATCGCTGGCACTGCATTTGTTGCAATTTAAGACATTTAGATATTTTTCATAACTAAACCTTAAGATTTATTCTTACAAGAATGCAACATCCGGTTTATTTTCAGGGGTACATCGTATATGGGAAATGATTGCTGAGGAATTGTACATACAAATAAGTTAAGGACAACAAGAGACCTGTTAGTCCATCTAGGCAGTCCCACATATCATACTAACCTCTAAAATAAAACACCCAAAGCCAGCCTTTATCATTCAAATATTTATAAAGACTTCCCTTAACTGCATCTACCACATTTGAAGGCAACTCATTATAAAAGCCAACCACCCTGTTTGCAAAATGAAGCTGTCCTAGCTGAAGATGACTCCTACCTTACCAAAAACAAAAACAAACAAACAAAACAGGATGAATTGCAAACTTTTCAAAAGCTTCTTTCAAATATATATAAAAAAGGAGGCAATGTGGAGAATGTGTTCTAATTAATACAGTTCAAATTGTTTCAAGTTATCAGAGAACAAATGTTTATGTATAGTAACTGAAAAATTGCAAAGTATACCGAGAAGCTAACTGAATATTACAGGGGAAGATTTAATAATACAAAAAATATAAGAAGGTATTGTTGTTGTTTTCGCTCAGAACTACGCAATGGGCTCTTTGTGCTGTGTCCACCAGGGGGGTTATTGTTTATCACGTCTTTTATATATATATGTATTACATGTTTGCACTGAAAGTGCCCCCAATGTCAGAGCGGTAAGTTTGAGGACTGATAATTCTATAAACTCTGTTTCGACACCCGTGGTGGGCACAGCACAAATAGCCCATTGTGGAGCATTGTGCTTAACTACAAACCAACCAACAAGCAAAAGTGTCTGAAGTATATTTTCGTAGACTATTAAAAACTGTTGATATATATTTTGCTCTCTAAGTAGCAGCACCTTTATTTTTACAATCATTATTATTATGTTGTCGTTTTAGCGCAAAACTACACAACAGGCTATATGAGCTCTGTTCACCGCGAGAAATCGAACCTCGGATTTTAGCGCTGTAAGTCTGCAAACTTACAACATGCCCACCAGAGGACAAGAGGATTTCATAACAAGAATATTAACAGATGGTTGTTATAATTTAATTCATTAATAAAAGTCATTTAATTCAACAGTTATAGAAGTTACCAGTCAATTAAGATTCGTACGGTATGTCAAAAGTTGTTGTACATTATCAGAATAATACTTGCCACAAAGTGGCACTGAGATAAAAATGTGCAAAAAAAAGTGTGGGGAAGAAACTTGTAGGAAGTGAGTGTTTTTTTTTAAATAGTTTATTTTGTAGGATCCTCTGTTTTAAAGTTTTGGATGAACCAGTGAACAATATATCTTCCGACAACTTCCGACCAGAGTGAGCTATGAAGTAAATAAACACATGTATTGAGAATGATGCTAAGACACTGCAATTTTACTAGTTCACTTTATGCTGTAAAATATTCACGGTGGCGTGGGGGGGGGGCTAGCCCCCACTTTTTAATCTGCCCCAGAAAAAAAAAGTATCAAATTAGGAAAATTATTATAAGGAAAAGTAGGTGAATGCGTAAAATTTAATCCAGAGCTCAAGAACTTCCAAGGCCCTAAGGCAAGCCCTTGGATCCCGTCCGTAGTGGATGCGCCTGTAGTACAGATTTTCTCGATCAAATAAACCTTGGCCAACCCTCCCAACCCCCACTTTTAATTTGCCTCCTACACGTCTGTTACGTAACATGCTAGGTGATACATAATTAGCAATGTTTGTTTTGTTTGTTTAATTTTCTTTAGAAACCACAAATTATTCGATTTGCATCAAAAAAATATTTAATAGAATATATCTGAATTTGTAATATTCTCTTCGACTGAGTAATTAACTAACGAAAAACACCGAAACTGTCTATTCCAGTGGCAACTAATGTGATTTTTCGTACTTAATCCTGTATGTGGTGACTTTTCTTCATCGATTATATTAAATATTGTAGTTTTTCTATCAGACAGGGCCAGATATAATCATATTTTGATAACGGAACGATCACGAGCCTGTTCTCTTTCTCATTTTCTAAAAATGATAAACGTCAGTAATCAGACGAGCAATATCAGCATTTTTGTGACCAGTCGTAACAATAATTTCAGCTGATTTGACAATTTTTTTATCATGTGAGGTATATTTTAAGAAACGGAAATCAATAGAACGTTGAAGTTTCGTTGCACAAGTAAGTCTCTTATTTTAAATAAGAATTTGGTAAAATGTCATGATACCGAAGGTTAGAAAAATACAAGAATTGCACAGGTAAAGGTATAAATATTACATGTGTGCGCATTCTTGTGAACACGTGTGATATTGTCCGTGGTCTAAAGATTTTTAGGCTGTGCTCTCATGCTATTTCTCAAACTATCGCGTGACAACTGAAATAAAGCTTCGTCGGGATTGGTGGAAACTATGAGGAGTTTCGGAAAGTGCGCCAATGGGAACGATACAGACTGTGATCAAACATCCGCTTATCGTATTGGACAGCATGGAACTCTTAAATATCAACTACTCGACAAGAAAAAAGTACAGAGAGCTTGAGACGGTCGGAATTAAGGCAGTTCTTGTGAATTAGATTTTTTTATAGTACATAGTTTGGAGAATCTAGCGTTTTCTTCCAGTCATGATCCTCGTGTGCAGAAGAATGCTAGCAGGAGCTGCTATCATTCTGGTTCTCTGTCTTTCTTACGGAGAGTCCGTAAATATCCTAGAACAAGAGCCAACAAGTAATAGCTCCTGGACCATGAATGTATCCTCCACATACTCCCTTTCCATCTCTTCTATCGTCCTGTTGTATGAAAAACTCTTCGAATCACTTCAGCTAGGATCAGCAGTCAACATAAGTGACCAGTGTGCAAATGCAACCCATCTTTTGGTACAGGCAGTGCGAGCAGAGGAATCGTGGGCTCTACGCAGTAAGTAAAACAAGAATTGTTTATTGTTATCCAAGTTTCATCGTTTGTCTCGTTCTTCTTCCCTCTCTGTCGATTAGTAACCCATGAATAGGAGCTAAACTCTTAACACCAGACACTTTTAAGCGAGCTGAAAACTGGACTGACACACTTCCTGACTCATACTTGCAGTGAAATAAGGTTAACATACTTTTTTTCTTCTTGTTTCGTTTTTCTTATACTAGATGTTTGTCTCAAGCTGAAACATATCAGTGTGTTAGATGAAAGGTTATGAACTGTTGGCACTAATTATTAATGCCAAAAAAAAGAAAAAGTTCCAAATATTTTATAAGCCAAGGTATTCCATTGTATTGTAGACGTACACAAACTTCCAAAAATTATTGCATTATACGAAGGCTTGCGAAACGTAAAAAAATATCTGTTCAAGAGTAGAAAAGATTAATATACAGTTGCTAGTTGAATGTCAGGGAATTATATTTGACTTGAAATCGGTTAATAAGTAAATAATATTCACCTTAAATTTTCCAATTTTCAGTACATTTTTATTGTATTCAGTGATAATTGACAGTTGTTATTTTTTTAATATGACAGTCATTTTTATTTTCTAAGTGTTGTTAAAGTTAAAACATAATTATACTTTGGATTTCATAATTAAATTAAATTATTTATATTTATGTGTACGTTGCGGAAACACATTGAAATTTTATTTCAATAAATAAGAAATTTTATTAGTATTGGTATTGGATAGTATTGTGAAATTATAAGTTACAAGCGTCATCAGCTTTATACGTTACATATGTCACGAGCTTTATACGCTATATATGCCATCAGATTTATACGTTACATATGCTATCAAGTTTATATATTACATATTCCATCAAATTTATACGTAACGTGTGCCATCAATTTTATATGTCACACGTGTTACCCAGTTTATATGTTACACGCGTCACCCTGTTTGTATACCACATGTGCTCAACGTTCGGAAGTTACATGTGCCGGTACTTTTACGTGACATATATTACCCACTTGATGTAACACACACATTTCACCCATTTTAACATATCCCACATATTTTAAGTATTACTCATGTCTCCAAATCAAAATAAGATGCACGTGTCATCAAGTATATATTTTACATCTATCACCAAGTTCAGCTGTTATTCGTGTCACCAGTTTCTAAGGTTAAACTATTCAACACTTTTATATATAATATGGTTCACCACGTTTTTACTGCATCTGCTACGAACTTTATATGATACTTGTGTCGCAAAGTTTACATGTGACATGTGTAACTAAATTTGTATTACATATCTCAAAATATCTATATGTGTCATCAAATTTATATACGTTACACGTGTCAACTTTATATATGACATCCGTTATGTTCTATGCGTCATCATGTTTATATACGTTACACGTGTCAACTTTATATATGACATCGGTGATATGGTTTGTGATACGGAGAAGATATTTGTAATAAACATTTGATTTACATATACACTCACGGCTGATAGAGAGAGAGGTGAAAGAGAAAATGTCGCCGTAACAGTGACAGAGAAAGAAACTGACATCATTATAAAACGGGTCACACGTGACATAGGAGTCAAGGGTGAAAGTAGGACAATACACAGTGCACGAGAGAGAGAGGTGTGTTTATGCCCCAAGCGACCGAGATCTTCCTCTCTTCGGCTACGGTCCTTGGTTTTGGTTTTACAAATTCGGAATGATCTAAAGTCTGGATCTGCGGCAAATGTTGAAGTCTTAAACATTTCAAGTACATTAAGAAGCAACAATATTTGATGGAATATTATAAAAAATATTTAATTATAGTTATCTGGAAGATATTTATGTTATTTATTTAATATTTAACAAGCAATGAAATAAGTTTCTTTTGTACAAAAGTTTGTTTTTTTCGAAGGAAAGTGAACCATGAGAATAAACAGCTGAATTGAAACTGATCACATGGATGAACACGCATGAAACAGCTGAATTGAAACTGATCACATGGATGAACACGCATGAAACAGCTGAATTGAAACTGATCACATGGATGAACACGCATGGAACAGCTGAATTGAAACTGATCACATGGATGAACACGCATGAAACAGTTGAATTGAAACTGATCACATGGATGAACACGCATGAAACAGCTGAATTGAAACTGATCCCATGGATGAACACCATGAAACAGCTGAATTGAAACTGATCATAGTTCGGTGCATATTTAATAATGTAAAAGATATGGTTAAACTCCTTTCTGAAAAATCATAACATTGATAAGCAACCATAACACACACAGTGAAACATCATAAGCAGTGTGATTATTGGAAATTGACGCAGTGCAGAGTAATTTATATATATATATATGTGTGTTTTCATCTAGCAAAAATATTATAACACACAAACGAATAAAGTAAGATAAACAAACTTCGGGAAATGACCATGTAAAAGTATTGTAATTGTACTTCCAAATTATTTTAAACTAAAAATGTACATCGTATATATATTTATACACACACGCGGGTGCGCGCGCAAAACCTGATCGCTAATACACTACGCATGAAACGTCATGTCAAATATGTGTTAAAGTTTCTGGTAATTTATGTGTTAAAAACGCCACGCTCGTCTACAACGCTTATTGGCAATCAGTGATAACAATACAGTCACGTGATTCTTTTGACACGCTTTCATTTTGTTACAGATACAGCGGTTTAATGATTTTGTAGAAGCTAGCTTAATTCAGGTTTCGTAGCACCAGGTCAGTGATAGGTAAGTTCACTAAGCTACTTTCATTCTGCTGAGAATTGATCTTTGAACTTTTATTAATGTCAAACAGGCAAAGGTATGAAGGCGGTTACATAACACGAACTTTTACATTAACGATACATAAGATGTGACTTAACTTAAAATATCTGCGTATTAAATTATTTACAAATTCTTTAAACGAGCCACAGTCTGACGATGCGATGTTAATAGTTATCTTTAAATATTTACTGATTAAATTGTTTACAAGTTCTTTAAACGGGCCACAGTCTAACGATAGGATGCATTTGTTTTTATTTTCAAATATTTACTTATTAAATTATTTACAAGTTTTTAAACGAGCCAGTCTGATGATGCAATGCAAAAATTTATTTTCACATATTTACTAATTAATTTTTTTACAAGTCCTTTAATCGAGCCACAATCTTAAGATGCTATGTAAAATGTATTTTATCCCGAATGTGTGATGTGAGTCTCTTTGATTCTTCTTATGTTACATCCATTGGATCTTTACATTTTAAGGGACGAACGAGTACGTCAGATAACCCACGTGGCTGTTAGATGTTGGCTTCCAGAAACATTTCAAGCAATAATGTAGATAAATATGAGAGGTTTACGATGATAGTAAGGCTGGCGTAGTTGACATGAAGTTAAGCGTCAGTGGACTCATTCCCATTCTCCACCAAGGCAGATACTTTGTTTTTTTCTGGAAATTATTAGCTGGACCAATACCTCTTGAAACTTAAATGATAAGCTGTGGTCATCGCACGTACACAAATTTATTTCGTACACATTCATTTATTTTTAAACACGTCAAATAAGCATGGAAAAACATGCCACTTTAACACACATAACAACACTAAGTTTACATAACTTCTCAGCAAGTGTTACGTTATTTACGAAAAGTTAGTGTTCACACATTTCTGAGCAACGGTTAATAAGTGCAATGAAAAACTCTCCGTTAGATTGCTGGGTGCCAAGTTATAGCAAAGTAATTCAGGGATGCTAAGTGTTCATCGGTGGGACAGTCATGAGTTTATGGACTTACAACGCTAGATTCCGGAGTTCGATTACCCGCAGCGAACATTGAAGATAGCCTAATGTGGCTTTGCAAACAAACAAACAAAGTTAGCTGTCGAAAGAGCGATAAGTAGAGTTTTATTAGTGTAGATATAAGGTCAATTAAACCTGTTTTACCATCTCACAATGTACCGTGCTCATACGAAACAAAATGGTTTCGTTATGCTGTACTGTGTTAACTTGTTCTAGCTATAATAGAAGCTTTGTTTGTTTGTAGTTAAGCACAAAGTTACACAATGGACTATCTGTGCTATGCCCACCACAGGTATCGAAACCCGGTTTCTATTGCTGTAAGTCCGAAGACATGCCGCTGTGCCACTGAGAGGACCTATAATAAGGGCTAATCCTTTTTAATGTTTTATACTTATGTTTTGAATTTTCTAAAATATATTTCTTAGGAAAAATAGAATACGGATCTTTTAGAAATAGTCATATCTTGTTTATCATTATAGGTCAAACCCCACAACTAATTTCAATATGACATTACTAAAGCTTATTACATGCTTTACAGAAATTAAAAGTAACATCCTTCTGTAAACCTTGAAAGATATTATGGTTTAAATATATTATACATATGGGATATCAACTGAATTGTTTTCTATAAAAGAACATAAAAGCAATTAATTTCTTGACACGATAAATCCTTCTTTGCTTCAAGCCCCTACAGTGTTGATTTCAGACTGTACTTTAAACCTAAATCAGATATTTTCGTAATTAGGTCAGAGATTCGGAGACCACTTTCGCTTTTACGTAAGGCGTCATGAGATTGACACAGATATCCTCACTGACGCCGCCTACCTGTATATACTCACAGTATGAAACGTTGAATGAGTCAATATTAAATAAAAACACACACACACACAAATTAACACGATGACACGCCGGTCCTGTCTGCACTTTATTTTTTAAACCACTTGCAGTGTTACTGATTTATATTCTACAATAGGGCAAAAATACTAAATTTTTAAATATTGAACTGCTTAAACAGTTATCGTACTGTGATTTCGCCATTTTATTCGGATTTGATTTAGTCGCAGTCTGTGGGTCGAGAGTTCGAAATCTGTACCGATCATGCTCGCTCGTGAGGGCGTTATTATGTGATGATCAATCCCATTATTCGTTGGTAAAGAGCAGCCCAAGAGTTAGTGGTTTTG